TCCCACATTGGCTAGATGAAAGGCCAAAGACATGGAGGAGGCTATAAATAGGAGCTCCTCCCCTCATTTGTATTTACCCAAGCATTGAATCAAAGCATTCTAGTATTCAAGTGCTAATTATTCCTTTCTCTCTATTATTCTTCTTAAGAGTGTTTGGGGCTCATAAGTCCAGTGTTGTGAGGGGTAAGGCTGATTTAGTGCTAAGAAAGAGCGCTAAAGCCGCACGGGTGACTAGAAGAAAGTTAGTCCGTGACATGCCGCATCATCTCTAATATTTTCTTCAAGATAGGCGTGTATTTGATGACTTGTTTTATGAATTCTCTCTACAACACAACTCACACTTCATAGCCTGTTTTCCAACATATATACGTATGCATGCCGCTCACTCTTCCGACAAGTAGTATATCATAATATGTGTTAGAGTTATATTCAAATAGCTACATCACACCCACCTTTCTGCATTCAATAAAAAATAATTGTATCCGAGCAACTGATTTCTAAGGATTGAATACAAAAATTTGAGTTGATTTAATATTAATAAAGAAGCAAATTGAATAGCATACGATTACTACAGAGTATGACTGGGTTTAGAATGGCAAGAAAAATCATTAATTATACATTGTATGCTACATACAATATAAAATATATTAATATGATTAATGAATATATAAAAATATTTTATGATATAATAATTTGCAAATAAAATGACAGAGAGTGTATGAAAGAAAAAAAATTACAAAGCAGTGCAATATGGCACAGCTGTTGAAATTCCTAAAAAATGTTGCACCATAATGTATTAGTGACATTAATCCTATTTCTATGATATCAAGAAATATGATGCAATTGCAGATGATGAAAATAATGATGCAAATGATGTAAAAGATGCAATCTTTATGGTGCATGAATCACATGTAGTTTTACTTACACCGCCAGCCCCACAAGAAACCCCAAGTACTAGTTCTCTAAAATTGATATTTGACATTATTTTAGGGTTTGAAGCCATCTATGTTTAGGAGAAGAGTGAATGCTAGAACAACTGAGAATTGGTTGATCAAAATAGAGAAAATCTTGAAAGGCATGACGTATCTTATTGATAGGCAAATATCTCAGGTCATCTTTGTACTAGAAAAAGAAGCAGAATGTTGGTGGATAGGCCAGTGTCTAAAAAAATTTGAAGATCAACTCAAGGAGCAAGTTATTTGGGATGAGTTCAATGAGCTAGTGTTCAAACATTGATTTGTTCCTCCTGTTCCAAAAGCAATTAAGTCTTATAAATCTGACTCGAATATCAAAGTTTGTAATACAATATGAGATAGAACTTACATCATTGTCAAGAAAAGATTCACAACTGATTAGTCCGCCAGGTAAGAAATGCTACAATTTTTTAGAAAATTAAGGGATCAATTGCATCGGCCTTTGATTCCACTTTTCATCAAGAATTTTGTTGAACTAGGGGATGGTGAGAGACTCCTAGAGCATATGTCCATGGTGAGACATAGGAGAGAACATTAATTAAAAAATGCCACTTGAAAATAGGGGAGGCGGTCAATTTACAGAAAAATAAAAGAATATTTATGAACAACAACAAAAGCAACAACAATAGGCTGGCCAACGCGCAATTATAGCTGGGCTGCATGTAGAAAGCCACATTCAAAAAAATGTTCGATGAACTCTAAGAAATGCTCTCTATGTGAGGACAAAGGCCACATAAAACATAATGGTCCAATGATTGTGTAGGTTGAGTACAATGAAGAGTTCAGAAGATAGAGCAAGCAGGGGGTTAAAGGCATACTTCAAATAAATTAACTTTAAAGGAAAAAGGTGAACCATCCAAACACACTATGAAAATAACATCAGATCAAGTTTTTATTTAGTCGTCTCCAGAAGCTAAAAAAATTTTAGCTGTGGTTATAGGTATGATTAAAATTTTAGAAGTGGTTGCTATAGCACTTTTCTATTCTGGAGCATCACATTGCTCATGTTTGAGTTGTTATTTGTTAAATTACATCTAGAACCTATTCAATTTACTCTTCTTTACATGCTATGCTACCTACCAGTGATAATATGTTTGTTAGTACTCCATACTCTGTTAATATTGCGATATCTAGTTGAATATTCAAATTTCAATTAATTTAACTACCAAGAACCGAGTTTGATGTGATTTGAGTATGAATTAGCTAATTAAATATTATGCTACTACTGCATACTGGCAAAAAGATTAGTTTCCTCACTCATTAATTGTATCAAAGTAAACAAACGGAGGAAGGCTAGTGAATTAGTATTTTCGGCACAATTAGAAGCAATCAAAAAAGGTTGGTGATAGAAGCAGTATTCCTATGAATCTATGATGAATGAGTATTTTTATGTTTTCTCTGAAGAGCTTGCCAGTTTGCCGCTAGAAGATTGATTCTCTTTATAATCTATAATAAGGTTCAAATCAAAGAATTAAAGCTCCCATATTCATAAGATTATACTTCATATATGAATATTGAACAATAAATCTACAACTCTCTTCCCTCTCATCAAACATAATCCCATCTCCAAATTTTTGAGAAATTTCAATTATCAATCCTCTATCCGGCCAATTTGCTATTTTTGCTTTATTCTTTTTTTAGGGTTTCAATCCAATCTTTATAGGGTCAACCTAATTATCATTCAAATCTATGTTGGTCGAACAACACATTGAAATCTTGTTATATTAGAAACTTATTACATGTTTATGTAAATCATTACATCTCTTAAACTTAGTTTTAGTTTAGGGAGATTAGATCCTCATTTTAATTTTATATTAATAATATATTTGTTAAAATAGATAAATTCAGGAATACAAGCCCATCAAGCACCATGCTGGCAACTATCACAAGGCCAGCGAATCACCCAAAATCTTTCAATACGGCCTTACTCCTATCCAACAATCTAGAGTCCACCTCTAAATTCCATCATCATAATGTACCCATACTAAGTTTCAACATGCCACCCATGTGTTTACAATACAAAGGAACCATGAGACAACACTAAATTACAAGATTAACTATCAGCCTTATGTTCATCAATAACTAAAAGGACATAGATCATATAAACAAAGTTATTGCATGCATATGTACAGCACACACAGATACAAAATTATGTACACCCTTGAACTCATGCAAAAGTTACACTTACAATAAGAAAAATGCCAACTATTATAGTATTTACACACCGTTGTGCACTAACAAGGTCACTCCAATGACTTCTCTCCTTCAACAAAAAGCAGCACCCTCCACACATGCACATTGAACACACAAAAGCAAAATTTTAACCAACCAAAAGATGACATCATATACCCTTAACACCTACAAGTTTTTTGCACACATGCCCAAGTCCCACCTCTAGGCCCCTTCAATTGGTCAACAAACTCTGTACCACTCTGTATTTCTTTGTCAATCTTTTGATGCCTCTCTATGTTGCTATCATGCACTTTGTTTGTTTTCCTTTGTTATCTTCACTAAAGGATACCCCAAGAATAGACATAATTAGGGAAACATCATTTGACAGCCATCTGCAACTATAAGCAGTACGATGCTGCATGCACACTAGCCCACATTTGCAGATGCGGTCAACATAGTCCAGCAACTTCGCCAACTACATGTAGCACCACAACCACAAAAGCACATACTAAATTGTTCCCGCAAATTGTACCATACACAGCCACCCATGAGCGAGTGACTTTCTGCTAAACATCAATATTTGATTTATCCTATATTATCTTAAACAAACAAAAAATGTAAGGAAATCAGCTAATGCCTAGTCCGTCTCCCAATCATCAAAACTATAGCAGCATTGAGCATCACAAAACCTCTATTCTAGACTTGGAGAAAGTGTTTCAACTACTAAAAAAAGTCTATCAATTATTCCTTTGTATGCTTTCAAAGATGCATGGATGGCCAATTGCATCTTTTATCCCTTTTTATGGAAAGTGAGCTTATAACGAAGGGATGGTCACGGATCACGAACATAACTTACATGAATAACTTCGGATAACATCTAAGAAAAAGATAATAACCTAAGCAAAAACAGTGTTCAGCTCCCATCAGCCATGCAAGGCAACAAGGACAAAAACAAAACCAGACATACTCTGGCCAACAAACAGGACCCCAAATCCATAAGAAGAATAGAGCCCTATAGTTAGTGCACGTGATAAAGATTTAGCATCTGAAAGCAAACAAAGAGTATAACCATGACACACTGCAACTCGATCTTTCAAAAACAACTTACAAATGTGATTGTACGAGAGATGTTTTTTTCGTTCCATCTTAGCCAAGGCATGAGCATCCTCCGTTAACCGCTCCAAGAACAATTCCTACACCACAATAGGAACAAATACATCATATATGGATACCGCAGGAATCTGCTTCAACGAGTTATGTCATAACCGACAGCAGAGAGCCAATATCCAGCTAAATGCCGAAACTGTAACCACAGAAGCAAATTAAAGTTACGATCTATGGATTGGCATGCATAACCTCAAATTCTCCCAGTGCGTTCTCGTTCGCGTTTACTGTTGCCCAACGGAGTTTTTTAAAGAAGAATGACATCGAAAGGAAAGAAATAAAAGTGGAGCAGATGTACATACAGAAGCTTTATTGATTATAAATACGGCATCAGCAGTGGTGCGGATTTCTGCAGCAGCACCACCACGAGCACCACACTCGCCGCGAACAAGGCGCCACACGCGGCTCATGGGAAAGCTGCATGATGCGCCACCAGAAGCAGCAGGTGTCGCCGGAGGACCGGAGGAGGAAGAGCCTGTGGCATCCAAACTCTGGTTGGACTTCTTCTTCTTGGCCGGCGCCTCAGCGTTCTCCATACCACCAGAACCTCCCGCCTCCTTTCTCTTTATCTCCTTCGGCAACGATGCCACCTTCGGCATGACTCCTGAGTTAGGGCTGTCAATGAACAAGCTAATATTCACAACAAATTTTTATTCACAACAACTTTTTATTAAAAATAAATAAAACTTACACACTTCCAAGGGTTTACAGTCACTATGAGAGGATTTTACACACCAGTGGAAGACTTCTTATGGCAAACTGGGTCATTATTAAAAATAAATAAAACTTACACACTTCCAAGGATTTTACACACCAGGGGAAGACTTCTTAGGGCAAACTGGGACCACTATTTCAAGCCGGCACAGCCTAAAATGTAACCAAACTTACATAGATGTAAGCGGACATCAAACTTAATACAATATGACATAAAATATATGTCGTAAGGATAACACATTCAGAGTAGTCTACTAAAATAAGAAAAAGGACATCAAACTTAATACAATATGACATAAAATATATATCGTAAGGATAACACATTTAGAAAGTAGTCTACTAAAATAAGAAAAAAATAGTCCGCTATCATTAGTGGAAGAAAAGGAGCTCAAAGTAGATGTGGTTCCCCACCACACAAAAACTTACAACCGTCGCATCGATAGTTGAAATACGTGGGCTACCCCACCAACTTTTGTTGTAGCCACCATGGTTGGAAGGGCTTACACACTAGTTCTCGTCAAAAGCTGTTAAAATTATTGTTGTTACATGTCGCCATCATTAAATCGTGGCATTTGATCACTTGGGTTATGGGTTATGATATGGGCTAGCCCTTCGCTAGCCCAATCTTCAGAATCGCCCTTCGATTCGTCGTCTTCACTTTTGTGAATTAATCATGTTTAGAATAGGTTCATGAACTAACTTTCGCAGGTTTCAATAATTATTTTCTTAATCTGATTCATATATTCATAGGTATATTTTGTCTCGAATCACTCAAAAATCTCAGAGAAATTATTTGTCTCTACAGAATTAGATAGAGAGATATTTGCGGCTTCATATTTTTGCAAAATTTTATTAATTTATTTTAATTTATCTTTCTCAATGATTTGAGATCACCATTTAATCCAAAACTGCTTTTATAAACCAAAGTAAATTAAATTGATCTTTTCCTTGACAAATTCTTTAAGACCATATCAAGGGATTTGGCAACCTATAAATAAATGGGTTAGAGTTTAACCATTTGCCACATCATCATTTTTCACATTCTTTAATATTGGGTACAGATCCACCCAATATTCATATTTGTCTTCTATTTTATCTGGCAAAGTATTAAACTTTGCACCAAAATATTTCGAGCATGAGCAAAATCATGTTGGAATATCTTTATTTGAAATAAACATTAGAGAATGCTTTGTCTTAGAGTTTGTCAAATAAAATGCCTTCATTATAGTATTAACATAATTTCAGTAATTTATTAAAATTTTGTGTTGCAAGTTAGATGAGAGACTGATTGGTCAATCTTGATATGGGTTAAGTCCTCAATCACGATAATGGATAATGTTGCTGCATAACCCATTTATTATACAAAATATCTTCATTTGCTTCATGAGAGACTGATTGGTCAATCTTGATATGGGTTAACTCCTCAATCACGATAATGGATAATGTTGTTGCATAACCCATTTATTATACAAAATATATTCATTTGCTTAATCAAAGCTGTGGTGTATAGCTATTCATTTTAATTGAATCAATGTATTTTCATATACCTTGTGAGTGAAATGAGATTCAATAGGAAAAGCAGCTCTACCCAAATATCATTATGCTAAAAAAGGCATTGTCTTGATGTGGCTATCTTCTAGTTTAATTTTCAGAATATTTTGCCTTAGCTTCTTAGTTAAATAAGATGATTTATAAGTTACAAAAGCTAATACTTATTTTATGGTTTTAAGCTTTAGAGCTACAACCTCAAATGATTCTCCAATTTCTTATGTAGGAGGAATACCATAAAAGTGTTCGTGTAGATCAATTTAACCTTTAGACATTAAACCTTGATAGCCTCGACCTCTTGAGGCACTTCAACCCCCACTCCTCGGAGCTCCATTAGAGCTTTTCCCTTGGGGTTGATCTACCCCCTGTTGATCCCTACAAAAATTCACAAGTAATAAATTCAGGTAAAGTGTTAGAGTCGGCAAGAATGAATTCAAATTCAAAATTGAAAAATAGTCAATTAAGCTTACCAATGAAAACATATTCATTTGGATACTAGATTTTTAAAATCCTTTCGAATAATATGTTTTACTGCAAAACAATTGATACACAATAACGGAGATAAAAAATTGTATATAATTATAAAGTATTTGGTTTGACGTTGATTAAAAAATTTATTAGTAAATTATATATTTCTATTTATAGGAATAATAGAAGCATTACAGATGTTAAGGCTAAGAAATTAAATTTTTTCTTGGAATAATTTTATTTTTGTTGCAGAAACAACTAATTCATTTTTGTGAACAAACTACTTTAAAGTACTTAAATGTATAATATGTTCATATATTTCTTAGGAAGATACCAAAACGTCATCTATATGTACCAAAATATACTTTAGACATTGATTAAAAACATCATTCATGATATTTTGAAATTCAGATGGAGCATTGTTAAGCTCAAAAGACATCATGTTCCCTTCATCATGTCCAAATGGTGTATTGAATGTCATTTTGTAACGATCTTCTTCTTTGATTTATATTTGTCAATATCCTGATTTTAAATCAAATTTAGAGAAGATTTTAGCTTCTACAAGTCTATTAAGTAAATGGTTTTTATTAGAGATTGGATATCTTATACATTTTAGAATTGTATTTAACGGTTTATAATTTATGACTGGTCGAGGCTTTCCTCTTTCATTTTCAGCAGCTTACATAACATAAAATGAAGTGAAACTCCAAAGAGAATATGAGTTGTAGACTAACTATTTATTTAATGGATCATTGATTTCTAACTTACATAGTCATTGATAGCTTTATTCATCTGACAAGATCTTGCCTTAGTTGGAATATATCTTTCATCAAAATTATTTTCGTATGGTAAAGATACACAATGTATTATATGATTCCAAAATGATATCGAATTATTTCCACATATCGTAGTTTGAAAAGTTGTAATCATTTCATTAATTTTTTGTTGAACTTTAGGTTCCTTTAATTTATCAAAAATAGATTTAGTTTTTATTTCTTCTTTTAGATAATTTATTTGAATGCTTTTATTTTTAATTTTATTCATTTTAATTAGTATGATTTCTTTAAGATATACTATAAATTGAAATAAACCTGGCTTATTATATACCAAACAATATATACCCTTTTATATCTGTTTTTGTTATAGGCATTATTTTTATTAAAAATGATGTTCCTAAAATAATATGTTAATAAGGTCTTTGACAACTAAAAATGAAAGTGGGATAAAAATATGATTTTTACAAGTTGTTGCATTCTTTATTTTATATTTTATTTTCATTCTATTTCTACTAGCAGAAGTTAACATTATATAGCCCTTCGGCCTACGAACGTCATCATAGCTCACTACTACACTTAACCAACTACAATCACTACAGGAATTTAGTTTATTACCGACGGTCTAATTCCACCGACAATAATGGATAAATCGTAGGTAATATATTCACCTAAGGTTTAGGTATGACAAAGTTGACATAACAAAAATGTTTGTTGGTAATTAAATTACCAATAGATTTAACGATAGTTTACATTAATCGACAGTTAACTGATGTACCATAATCATCACTATAGATTCAAAAGCATGCCACATTTAATTGTAGCTTGACCGTCAGTTATATAACTGACGAAAATGTTCATAGGAAATGTGTTACAGTTATGTCAGAAAAGTATCTCGATTTTATCAGTAAATTGTCGGTAAACTGTTGGTTAACAGTGGAAATTTACAGTCGGCTTTGTCTGTAGCAAAAGTGCAGCACTTTGCCCGGACGTCGCTTGTTTGATGGACTGTTGGAAAATTGTCGCTTAATCAATAAACCATCGTAAAATCGTTGATAAGCCGTCAAAAACATGTACTATCAGAAAAAAAAACCCTCTTTCCTTGCTACAATCTACACACATATCCATCAAAACATATCACAACACAGTAACAAAACGAATTAACGTATAAATCATATACATAAATAAAAGAAAAATAATTGAATTAAAACAAATGAAATGTACAAGTACACAATAGTACTAAAAGTCGCTAGCAATAAATTGTTCAATACACAACCAAATAAAAAAAATAAACCCCTACTCATCTTCCTCATTATCCAGTGTCCTCTCCTCATCATAATGCCTCACCATCATTCTGCACTGGCTCCTTCCCTTTATGCGGTTCCAAATGCAACACAACTTTGATATTTTCCCTCATCTCTGATCTTTGAGTGGCTGCCTGGGTAGCAACTTGATGACTTATCTCCTCTTCCTGTGAAGTGACAGTGGTTGCACTGGTTGTGCTTGAGGCTGGGCATGCATCATAGGCCGACACCTGGGACTCCAACCCCTTGACCCTACCATTCTTCTTTCAGCTGATAGCCTCCCGCCAAAGTTCGTACTCAGAAGGATCGTGAGATGTGCCTGAACCACAAGCTGACTGTTGAGATCGGCTCTCCTTGAGCCTTAAGAAGGTCTCCAATAAAGCATATCATTAATGAAAGTGAGACACTAAATAATTTTTTTTATTTATTAATCTTGTCAAATACTTTGGTCATCTGCGATATGTTCCCAACCCAGGTTTTATCTGATTACCTATGGGTGCGCTCGTGTAACTCTGCAACAGTTGGCCCGCGTCTTTTCTCTAGTGTTTATCAGTGTAATGGAATAATGCATATATTTAATGTAAAATAAGACTTAATGCAAAAAAAAAGTCTTATCGGCCTCCCTTTGTACTTCGTATGTGGGAGGGCTCCATGGTGTGCTTTGAGGCCCCCATACCCCCATAGTCAGAGCAACGATATAGCTTTGCCTGATCCCTCATTCCCTGATACTTAGGAGAGACCAAGGCTCTAAGAAGTATGAAAAACACATCATCACCCAACCATAAAGGGTGCCCGTGGGTCCGACATATACCACTAAACTGGTCTCACAGACGATCGCTCCTCGCGGGCGACAGAACAATTACTTCTTTAAATTAAATTATAAATTTTTAGATTCATGAAAATAAATAAATAAATGTAATTATTGTGTTTGGAGTTTGCCTTAAACTCACCAATCCACATTTCTCGAACTGTGATTGGGATCTCCTTCTAGGATAAGTAAGAGTGGTCTTACTTACTTTGAATTATATCTCTGATGGAATGGCTAGCATGTGTAGGGGGACTAAATTTAAAAATAACA